TTCTTGGCGTTGTTCCTAGCACTGGCCTCGGCAGTCATGATGAGAGCGCGAGGAGCATCCTCTCTGGGCATGTAGAGCTCGACGAATTGCAAGCACTCAGCAGCGTTGAACTCCTTGTCGGTGAGAAGCTCGTTGAGCTCAGTCTTGGTCTTGATCTGAAAGGTCTTGCAGGTCTTCTCGCCACCGAAGACACTGACGAGGTCCTTGTACTTCCAGTTGTTGATGTCGTTGTAGACAGCATCCATACCGTGAATGAATCGCTCAATGGTGAAACCATCGTTGCAGATGACGAAACTAGAACAAGAGTCAGTAAAAGACGGAGAGGATGATCAGTCTTGAAAACATACATTGTGGGCTTGAGGTGATGTCGGATCATGGTGCTTAGCTCCTGAGCGGTCAACTGGAAAGATCCATCACCAACAAAGAGGATTGTTCGGCCTTCCTTGCCAGCATCCTTAGCAGCGAGGGCAGCACCCTGGCAAGCACCAACGGACCAGCCGATGCTGCCCCAGAGAACTTGGCTGAGGGCGGTGACATTGCGGGGAAGTCGAGTGTCCCAGATACCGAAGTTAGCGGTACCAGTCTCAGTGACGACGATGTCGTTGGGGATGAGGTATTCGCCGACACGGGGCCAGAGCCAGGCCTGTGTGATGATCTCAGAGCCGTCGGTGTTCTTCTCGACCTCGTTTCTGACCTCAGGGATAGAAGGAGCGGGCATAGACTTGGGGTCGACTCGGTCGATGATCTTGCGGAGGACACCACGCATGGCAACGCCGGGATATGTGGAGTAGCGGACCTTGCAGTGAGTGCTATGGAAATCAACAGAGTTGATTTGTGATGTGCGGTAAGAGAAACCGGTGGTGTTGAAGTCACTCTTGAGAGCGCCAATGGTGAGAAGGAGATCAGAGCCCTCAACGATAGACTGGGCACGAGCGGGATGAGAGCCGTCGCCAGCGAAGACACCACCATAGTTGGGATGGTCCTCGTTCACAGCACCTTTACCCATGGGGGTAACAAAGACGGGAAGGTCGAGCTTGTCAATGAGCTGGTGAACCTCCTTGACAACACGATGGCGGATAGCACAAGAGTCGACAAGGATGACAGGGCGCTGAGCAGCGTACATAGCCTTGAGGATCTCATCAACGACGAAGTCTTCGTTACCGGGGTCGTTTTGAGGCTCAGACAGGTCGATGGGGGTGTCAAGTCGAGCACCCTCAACCTTCTCCTGGACCATATCGGTAGGGACCATGATGTAGACGGGGCGAGAGCGGAGCCAGCAAGTGCGGAGAGCAGTATCGATCTGCTCGGCAATCTCGGAGGGCTTGTTGAGCTTGGCGACGTTGCAAGAGATTTGAGCGCTCATGTTGGCAAAGACATCAAAGTCACCGTTTCCGAGAGTGTGGTGAAGAAGCATCTGGTCACGCTGAGAGATGGTAGAAGGGCATCCAACAATGTGGACGACGGGGATGTGCTCGGAGTAAGAGCCAGCAACGCCGTTGACGGCAGAGAGCTCACCAACACCGAAGGTGGTGATGAGAGCAGCCATCTTGGTGACACGGGCATATCCATCAGCAGCGTAGGCTAAGGTTGTTATGTTAGTGATATGGTGTTTTGAGGTCTGTTGATGAAGTCATGATGAAACTCACCAGCGTTAAGCTCGTTAACACTGCCGACCCACTTGAGGTTGCATTGAGGAAGATAGTCGAGGGCGACGAGGTTGTAGTCGCCGGGAACACCGTGAACAGACCGAACACCGACTTCGTAGAGACGCTTGAAGAGGTATTCAGCCACGTCAATTGGCTTTTGGAGGTTGGAGCTGCTCATGATTGCGGATTGGCCGGTAAATTGTTAGGTAAGATAAGAGATATGGTTGATAAGGTTGATATGATGGAGGGGTAACAGAGGAAGCTCGAAGCTTATTTGTAGGATGAGTGAGATGTTATGAGGATGAGGGGGATGAGGGGAAGATGATATGAGATGTCTAGGTTGAGAAGTAACCAAGACAACCAAAAGAGGAATGTGATTGATTGTTTGATCGATGGAATGATGAGGAAGGAAGAGAAGATGTTTTCGGTGGAGGGGGAAGGAGGTGTTTATACGTTTGATGCTTCACCTTCGCTACTACGCACGTATCTGTATGTAGTAAGGTAAGGTAGGTAGAGAGAGCTATGACTACTAACCTATGAGCAATACAACTGAAGCTTGGTGACAGGTGTGCACCCTCACAAATTGGGTGTACACTCAGCAGTTTACCTACCTACTTTACCTTGCCTTAGGTACCTTACCTTACAGTGCAGCTTGTCACCAATGATACCCCTTGCTCTTCCTTGCTCCTAAACCTCAAATGGGTTGATCTGATCTGATCTGATTGATTGCGCCAAAAATAAGACCATGGTCAGAATGAGCCCAGCCCAGCCCAGCCCTGTAAGTGTCACTAGAATCGGACCTGTCAAGGAGACAGCACGGGCATAGACCCAGCCCAGTAGCAAATTTTGACCGTTATTCTCGGCTTCAGAATGTCACGATATTTGCTCGCTCGCTCCCGACTAGAAGCGGCCGAAACCGCGATAGTGAGTGGCAGTACTGTACAGTAAAAGCTACGGTGACGGCGATAAAAGTCCTCTGATGGTGATGTAATGACCCTCCCATGGGCTACCAGCGTCGACGCCACGCACACGGGAGGGCGGCTCTTTCACTGCGAACTAACTTAGGTAGCTTAGTGGGCTCTAACTCTGCATTAGCCGCAGCTATTTTTTTCTCTCCCCTTCTGTAGCAGATCCGTTGTTGTATGCGTAGGTAGCGACCGACAGTCAGAAAATCATATGATGCCATTGTGCCCTGTTTACGGGCCCTCCCAATCGGGCAGACTTTGTCAAGGGTGGAATCTTGATGTTGGCTACGGGTCTAAGAACGTCTAGAAACATTTCAATGCCACAGAATGAGTGGATACCTCGATAGAAATCGGATGCTTCTTTTTTGACGATGACAGGGGAACGACGGGACGATGAGGAAAAAGAAAGGAAAGGTGCCAGCCACGATCAAATCTGCCTGCATGGATCCAATGGATGGATGAATGTGATCACCCTCGATAAATCCTTGGCGAGCCTTGTCTTTGCTTGTCAGAGCCAACTCCGGCCATCCCGGCTAGTCCGGACCTGTGCAGCCGAGCGACCACCGGCCGGGATCATAGTCCGTAAAACAATACCCGGAGATGCTATGTAAGTTAGTCTCAGTCTGCGGTTGGAATTGGAATGGACGAGTATTTGGTAATGGCGTTGTTTTCCCTCTCGAGATGCCTGCGACCGGCAATCGACAAGACAACGGGGGTCCAACTGCGTATGTATGTACATACACATCAAGGTCCAGGCACCTGGCCTGGATCACCATCATTAGTTGATTATTTCCATGGATGTCGATATCGTTATCGTTGCAAGGTCTGCGGTGGTGGATGTCCATGTCGACCCTGAATACTAAGTAGGTAGCCTCCTCATTCAAGGATGACATAACGAGACTTTTATGTCGATACCTTAGTATTCTTCATTGTCCAACTGTACCTATCTTTACCTCCTTAGTCGCCGGGTAAATTGCGTGTGAACAGCAAGCGGCACAACTTGCATACAAGCGTAGCATTCATGATCATCACTGGCGTACGTACGCATGTAGTAATGCTGAGGCAAGACATGACTATGCATTACATTACGGGGGGGGGGGGGGATATCTCAGCCAACTATCCATTCACAACTCTCTACGTATAACACTCCAGTCGATGAAGCAATCAACAAGAAACCAGCATCAAGCGCAATTCAAAACAGGGATCTCGTGTCCGTAAAAGGCCCTTTCAGTCGTGCTTTGACTCGACAACATCCCGTAATCGACATCCGATTATCACGACCGATATCATCTCAAGCCTCTTGTTTCCTATGTTTTCCGCTCTTTGCCGTAAAATACCAAACCGATATCGTGTTACAATAGCGGGACGATATCAAATCTTTCGCTCATCAACGGATAAAGAGCGTGGATTCAGAGGGGCCATGACAAGCATTGGCTGTGAGATGGGATGTTGCAGGGTAAGGTAACCTGAGATGTTGGGAACTATCTATACACCACCTTGGCCCTAGCTATGGCCATGCCGCTTGGAAGAGAGCTGTATGTAGTTGGTGCTTTTTGGCAAAAAGGCGGCCCGGTAGTTGTGTTGTACATCCGTGTCATGTCAGATCATTCTTATCGCCGCCTAAAGGGAGTTCACCGAAACGAGCAGGGATGTGCAGCTAGGGTGGTGAACTGGCGAGACCAGCTCCCTGGGATATCGTACTTCCGCTACGCTACGTTCCTGAATTTGACCTCATTCAACAAGGTGGCTGTACTGTATTGAACTGACTCAATATCGCACTCACCCTACCTACCTTACAGGGCTGCCTTTGCCTATAAGACGAAGCTATAACTGCTAATGTCGGAAATTTGACACTGCTTCAGAGCGGTGTACAGAATTGATTATGCCCATAATGACAGATGATGGGACTCGATGAATGTATTTGACTTCATGATATGTTAAATTTGATGTACATCTATCGTTTGTCGTGAGATGGGATTCTATGTAGTATGCATACAGTTCTCGCTTCGCCTCTACTGTACAGTTCATGCTCCGTCATGAAAAACCCATCAAAAATCGGCAATTCCCATGCTCCGCTCATAGACGTTTCAAACCGTCTTGCCCATCAATTCTTCCTCTGTCCATAGAAAAGTCATTGACATCCCACGCCTCCATCGGTCCGGCATTAACCACACGTGTATGCATGTATCCACACAACAGCCAACGACCCATCATGCCATTCTCCAACCGGTGTGCAATCGCTCAGGGGCCCAAATATCGTACACCGTACACCGAACACCGAAACCACAATGGTGTGTGTGAGTCGAGGCCTCTGGTATACAGTATTGGTAGGCGCGCGAGCGTCCCGGCCGGATCCAGCAGCCAGCCTCAACCTCTGCTCAGAAACAGCTCAATCGCATCTTCCATCCTTCCAGCCTGTCCGCCACCGCTCCTCCCACTTGGAACAGTCGAACTCAGGCTTGCCCAATTTGCGGTTGACGTCGTTGTGTGCGCCGCACAGCCACTTGCCGAACTCATCACGACTGTTGACCTGTGGCGCTTCTCGTTTTAGATACCCCTGGAAATCTTCTGCGCAGACCCAACAAGGATATAGCTTAGAGAACAGACCGACAAAGCTGAGAAGGTCTGATTTTTGGCCGTTTGACGGCTGTTCCGGATACTGAGCGGCAATAGAGTGAAGCAATGTCCATGTACTGCGGCCTAGCACCTCGACATCTGGAGGGCAGTCGGCCGGAGGACCCTTGACCTTTGCAGCGTCCTGTTTGAGAGTACTCTTTGTTTGGGAAGCCCATGCAGCAAAAGACGTACAGTTCCGGCATCTGAGCAAGGGTCAGTCGAATAGGGCTCCATTTGCAGGGCGTAATGATGAAACTCACGGTTTGCCGTCAGGGCCTAGTACCACTCCCTTGGGGATCCTCTTAGGCGGCTCAGCAGAGCCTCCTACCGACGACGCAGGGGCAGCGGACGCAGCCGCATGCTGTTGATCGTTTGGATCGCTTGACATTGAATGGCGCCACTTGTGGTGGTGAGATCTCTGACTTCGACTCTAACTTCGACTTCTGAGGCGAGTTACCGCTAAGGAACAAGACGGGAACAAGCAGTCGGCGCTTCCGGTGGAATTATTGGGGGGCTGAGTAAGTGAAACAGATCAGGTAAGCAAGCAATCGATCTATCAATGAATGGATGAATGAATGTCAACGAACGAAATTCTACGAAAGAATCTAGGGACTGGAAAGAATTGGGATCTCGAGACTTTTACGATTGTTGTGGTGTGACGTCTATTTGTCAGCCTCTGTCTACTAACATGCATAGAAGAAAAGATGCTCAAGTGCCGGGATGGTAAAAACGGTCTATCAAGTGTCTACTCCGTATCGACAGACAGAATTCGAGGCTACTCCTTATCGATAAGCCACCAAATCCTGGAAACTTCCAGGGACAGGCCAAATTTATTTAGGCCGGAGCAGCGCCGCCTTCCGGGTGATTATGGGGCGAGGCAACACACTCTCAACCCGTTATCGATGGAGCTTCTTTAGTGGAGGACGTGCATTCTTCACTCTAGCATCATTTCCGGTCGAGTCTCGTTTTAGTCTCTTGAAAATAAAATATTAATTCATGATTATACATACAGAAGTGGCGATTCAAGCATCTCTGTCAAATGTCTTCCTATTTGCCAATGTCTTATGATAGTCAGTTCGCGTTTGTGAAAGGCGAGCTTGACAATCCCGTTGCGGCTGCATCATTCATGAACTCATCCATGACCTTACTCAACGCTGTCATGTCATCGCCAACTGAGAAAAATGACGGGTCCAACGCCATGGTTTGACCGAACGTGTTATCGAAACCGCCAAAGTGGTTCTCCGCGGACGGCCGAGATGAAAGGTTGAATGCTATACACAAGAGTCAGCAGCAAACAACGAGACTTGAAAGGTCAAGAGACTTACTGGTTGGTGGTGATGAAACAGAAATCGAACTCTTTCGATCTTGCTCCAGAATGATCGATATCGCCTTGACAGCTCTCTGAGCTTCAAGAGATTCGTCGGATCTCGTCCCCCAGATGTCCTTTGCTACAATCAAAGCCTGCAAGATATCACTTCGCCTATGCAAATCACGTCCTGCATCGTATCTACTCAACGCAAAGCATAACATCATGGTAGCTTGCATGAACTCGGATCTAAGTGGTGCGGCAACTCTCCAGCGTATGTTGTACATGAGGCCTCCTGGTTGAGTTTCTTCGTTCATGCGCCGTTGGTGCTCCAGGATCGACAGGGCAGCCTTGATGCATATCTCACTGGATCTGACACTCTCTTCTCCTGCCGACCCTCTGACGAAACTGTGTCGATGAAGGAGATAGATGGCTTTCTGGGTGATGATATCAAGCATCATTCGGTTAAGGATAGTAGTTGGACTGTCCGCAATCGACTCTTCGATAGGCCTTAGCCTGAGCCAGTCCGGCAAGGAACCTGTGGCACTCTCAAGCTTGGCCTGCAAGGTCGCAATGGTAGCTGGTGGAGGGGGCCCTGCTTCGGTTGTGTCGTATATCTCAGCAGCAACTTTGATGACTCCATGCCTGTGGATATTAAACGCCAACATGGAGGGCTCTGAATGTGGCCTTTCAGGCGGTAGGGTATCGTGCTCAAAACCAATATCGCTATCCAGAAGATACGAGGGCGGGCGAGTGTCACATTGGGAATCTTTGATAATACGTGGAAGCCCAATTTGGGTACTGGTGAAGAAGTCGATGCTGTACAATGCTGTCCACGCTCGTCGCCTAAGCTCAGCTTGCAATGGTCGGATATTTGGCCAGTGGGATGGCTCACGATGAAGACCCATCCGCATGGCTATCCTTATGATAACACCCATGAGGACCCAGTTCCCAATATCGGCATCGGCATCTGCCTCTTGGTCAACAGCAAAGTGCAATAAAAGCGTCTCAACCGTGTGCGCGCTGGAACGAAGGTAATCTCCAGCAACTAAGCAGTGAATAGTGAGCGTTCGGTAAGTGTCCAGCGTTGTTTGTAGTTCAGAAGCGGACAAGCCATGCATCCCTGCCTCCTTCTTCTGTAATGATACAGCCATGCTCATGATGCTGAACAAGAACCCGACCCAGATGATGGAGACAGCTGAGGGGTTTACCCAGAAATTTGCATACTATGGATGGATTAGCCATTATCTCCTCAGACGTTTGTTATGTGCTGACTTCTGCAAGGAATTTGCCTCGATGAAGTATGACTGGACGGGCGGAATTAGCAGTTGACTGGACATGAAAGTCATGACTTACTTGAGTCGAAAGTGTTGAAGTACTGGAAGATGTATCTGTCAACTATCTTGCGAGGAGGAACCAAAGCGAGAATCTGGTCCACGGGAAGGCACGAAACATTGGCAAGTAGAGATATTCTCGGTGCCGGAGACTGCTGCGTCAAGCCACTAGCAAAAGGAGAAGACCCTTCACTGACAATGTCGGAGCCATCATCAGCGAGCTCATCTCTGAGTTGTTGAATCTAGGGATCACGTCAGTTGAAGGTCTCCATGACGAATTTTGTTCTTACATCTTCCAATATTGTAGCCCAATGTGAGCTACCTGTGTACACAGCCTGGTTATCTGCCAGGCTGAGATTTCCCATTCGAACACTTGGCGATGTGCCTGATTTAGTTGGCTCAAAATGACTCGAGGCATTTTCTGATTGGATTGCATCGTTCAACGACTGGTTTGAACTCTCAGCCTTATCTCTCAGTTCCGTCACCAGATTCTCCAGACGAGCTATTCTCTGACGAGCTTTCTGGTTTCTGTTATGAGGTCTGTAATCTATGGCATCCTTGCGTTCTTGTTCCGAGCAAGTAAAGATGCACTCGGTAGGTGTTCCGCGCCGTGTGCAGGCGCCGCAAGGTGACTGTCTATCGCATCGAAGTCTGCAGTAAGGTCAACGTCATATCGGGTTTCTCTCTGGTTTGTCTGGCTTACTTGCGTCCCCTGCAGAAACTACAGCTCAGAACTGGCTTCTCACGTTTTCTTGTTTGGGGTTTTGACTGTGCTTGATGAGTTTCCATGAGTTAGAGCGGTGAGGGCTTATTCGCCTCTAGATCCGACACAAATGATGAAGCTAGTGTAGATTGAAGTTTGGCTACTGGATGTGAAGTCATTTCACTCATGATCCTACGAGTCACACGTGATTCAGCACCGATGATACCCAACAGAAGACAAGGCAGCAAGGTATGTCGTATATTTTGTAAAATACAATGTCTGAGATCCGGTTTAATACGCATCGTGAGAAGCGGTAGCTCATTCAGGGAATGTGCCTTGAGCTGGTCTCTAATTTTGACGGTCGAACGATAACCGTCAATCCAATGTTCATATTGACTAAGACGGATAAACGGAATGGGAGTAGTTAAATAAAGCGGCCCAGCCTCTCGTCTTTGTCTCAAGCAGCAATAGCGGACAAACGAAGGATTTTCGGACGTTGATCCTTGGTGGAGGGTCATTCAGCGGACGGTCGGACGGTCATGGTGTAAGCTCATTGGTCAATTATGACTGTCCGAAATACCATCTCTCTACGGACATTGTCGATGGATTCCATGGCGGACATTTTGTGATATGCCGATAATTATATATAACAACAAGAGAATTTGTTGATTCCACTCGATCCAATTCAATCACATTCTACAACTGTATCAGCAACTTGCCCATTCGGCATCAACTACTCCCCTTTAGACTACACTTCTTTTACACAATCACAATGATCGCCTCGGACAATGCCCCGGCCGATGTGGTCTATCCAAAAGGCATGAAGTTTGCCATATTGATGATCTCACTCTATATCAGCATGTTCCTGGTTGCCTTGGTATGTCCTGAAATCACTCGATGCAATCGACACAGCCAACAGTCTTTAGGATAAACTCATCATCTCGACTGCTATCCCCGCTATCACGAACGAGTTTCATGCTGCGAGTGACATCGGTTGGTACGGTACAGCTTACCTTCTTACCAACTGTGCCTTCTTGTTGGTATTTGGCAAACTATACACCATCTTGGATATCAAGACGACCTTTATGACTGCCATGGTACTCTTTGAGATTGGCTCAGCTATCTGTGGTGCTGCCCCAAACTCGATTGCCTTCATCATTGGAAGAGCTGTCGCAGGTCTAGGCGGTGCTGGTACGCAGTCTGGTATCGTAAGTTGTTCCTTAATGCTTCGCGGATAACACTTTTACTTACACTGTTAGCTCGTCATCATTGTCTATGCTGTCCCTCTTGAGAAGCGGCCTCAGTACCAGGGCCTCTTCGGTGCAGTCTTTGGAATTGCTTCAGCTATTGGACCTGTCATTGGAGGTGTCTTCACAACCCACGTCACTTGGAGGTGGTGCTTCTACATCAATCTCCCCCTTGGCGCCGTTGTTTTGACCTTTGTCTTCCTATTTCTCCAAGTTCCTCGCCAATCGACTGAGAAGACCGGCCTGATGTACAAGCTCCAGCAACTGAACGTACTCGGCTTGATTGCTCTTATCCCCGGTGTCGTTTGCCTCTGCCTGGCTCTCCAATGGGGTGGCTTCGAGTATAGCGTAAGTGTTTGTCCCCTGTGTGGCAAAGACTCAACTAACATCACTTAGTGGAACAATGGTCGTATTATTGCTTTGCTCGTGGTTGCTTTCACCCTCCTTATCGCCTTTGTCCTCATCCAAGTTTGGAAGCCCGAGCAAGCAACCGTCCCTCCTCACATCTTCGCCAAGCGCAGCATTTTCGGTGGCTTTTGGGTGAGCTTTTGTATTGGTGCCCATCAGACACTGTTGATTTACTTCCTCCCTGTCTGGTTTCAGGTCATCAACGGAGAATCTGCCATGGACAGTGGAATTCATCTCTTGGCCATGGTACTTGCTCTTGTTGTTGGCTCCATCATCAGCGGCGTTCTCACCTCTCGCATTGGATATTATATGCCGTTCCTCATTGCCGGAATCTGCATCTCTTCCATCGGCGCTGGCCTTTTTACTATCCTTGGTACTAATGCTTCAGAAGGCCAGTGGATTGGATATCAGATTGTATATGGCTTTGGTCTCGGTGCCTGTTCCCAGGCTCCCAACATGGCCGCCCAGACTGTTCTTCCACGCAACCAGGTATCGATTGGCGCTTCGCTCGTCATCTTTGCCCAAACACTCTCCGGTGCCATCTTCGTTTCTGTCGGCACCAACGTGCTCGATGGAGAATTGGCCAAGCGTTTGTCCGCTTTCACAAGCGTTACCCCTAAGCAGATCGAGTCCGCTGGCTTAACAGGTCTTCTCAAGACTATCCCTGAGAAGTTCCACAAGGAGACACTGACTGCCTACAACGATTCGCTGCATGTTTGCTTCCGCGTCGCACTCATCATGGCTTGCCTGGCTATCTTGGGGGCGTTGGCTATGGAGTGGGCCAGCGTGAAGAGAGAAGTAGTCGAGACAACAAAGGAGAGTGACAATGAGGTAGAGGAGAAGTCGGTTGTTTGATTGCTTGTAGGAAGGCGTTGGAGTTATTGTTGATAGATGGTTGCTTCTGCACTGAATACCCAGCTCGATAATTAGATCTCATTCACTATTCACATGATTATACGTCGTTGTCAAAAAGTCACCTTGATAAATCAGTGAAGACATGATATTCAGTGGACAACCTGGAAGCTCTTCAACTGCCGTCTCTCTCATGTTATCGATAAAGCTGTCGCCCACTTTTCCCATGAGCCCCTCACCTGCATCCCACCTTCCGAGTCTCCGAAAGTTGCTGATCTTCCCGCCTCATGATCTCGACTTCGTTCTCCCATTGATTACCTCTCCGCCATTCTTTCGCCTTAAAAAATCACGGATCGATAGTATCGCCAGCCGTATTAACCCATACATATACGCATCAGACCAATCTCAACTCATCATGACAACTACCAATCCCACCACGGAGCAAGCCTCCAAGATACCTGTACTCCTACTGAAGACGAGATCGAGACCTGGCGATTCCTACGAAGATCTTTTCTCAGAATCTGATGTTAATGCAAGTGGTTTTGCGCCGCAGTTCGTGCCTGTTCTTCTGCACCAATTTCACAGTGACGGCATGAACGAAGTCGCAGCGCTACTTCGCGATCGTCGCATCGGAAACCAGAAACACCATGAATACGGCGGCTTAATCTTTACATCACAACGCGCCGTCGAAGCTTTTGTGAAGCTTGTCGAAGACGGAAAGGCCGGTAAGTCATAACCCTGGAGTCATTATATCTCTAGGACAATCTTGGCTAACACAGTCTCTCTTGCGACAGATGACATTCCTAAACCCGAAGAGAAAACCTCATGGCCTCATCTACAGAACATTCCTGTCTATAGTGTCGGCCCCGCCACTACTCGCGCCCTCGCTGCTGTCCCTCAAGAACCTCCTCTTCAAGTCTTCGGTAGCCACACAGGCAACGGCGCAGCCCTTGCTCCTTTTATCCTCGCCCACTACTACGAATGGTACGGCGGTCAAAAACGTGCGACTCTCCCGCCTATTCTATTCCTCGTTGGAGAAACCCGTCGTGATATCATCCCCAAAACGCTACAGGACGGCGCACTACCAGATACAGAGCGCATTCGTGTGACAGAGACGGTTGTTTACGGGACGGGCGTCATGGAGAGCTTTCCGGTTGATCTACGCAGGGTCCTCGGTGAAACACGCAATGATTCTATGCGATGGATTGTGGTATTTTCACCAACCGGATGCGATAGTATGCTTCGAGTCATGGGAATCCTGGATCCTGAGACCAATAAGGTGTATAAGGGCTACGAACGGGACGGCAAGACGTTCATCGCGACCATCGGACCTACGACAAGAGATCACCTCCTGTCCTTTGGTTTCGAGCCTGATGTGTGCGCCGAGTTACCGACACCTCAAGGAGTATTGGAAGGTATCCAGGCGTTCATGGTCAAGAGACAGAGCTGAGACAGGGAGCAATAAAACAATTGACCTTTTTGCAACACTACATGCGGAGTATTGAAGGGCCACTAATGGTGTAAAGAGTTGAGAGTATCAGCTCCGGGTATCATAGGTTTTTACTGATCTTGCCTTGAATATTTTTTGCTGTTGTCCTCCTTGTTATATACCCAGGAAAGGTTTTGTTCCAAACAAAGGTCGCCCTGCCATGACATCAAATAGATCTTCCTTCTTCCCATAGAGCATCAATTTAATGAGAGACCGATCCGCCTGTGAATACCATTTCATAACACCGAGCGCCATGCAAACACGTGAAGCCGTAACGAAGCATCATCGTCATCATCATACGCCCATAACCCAGAGTTCGACTCCGATGACGCCAAATTTGGTTCCCTCGTCACTCAGAGGTTCGTTACCAAAGGTCTCGCACCTTGAGCTATGTCCGTTCTCAAGCCCATTATCTAACCACAGCCCATAATGCCCACCGCCTGATCCAACACTTAGAAAGCCGGTCTCGCAGTTAATGCAGAAGTCATTCAGACCGCTGTACGGGAATGCTTTGAACCTGACAGCTTCGCTAGGTGTAGGCGACGGCGCGCGAGAATGTGTAGGGGTGTTGCTCTCTGACGAAGGCGGTGGCGGGGCGAGCGTTGTAATTCGAGAGTTCAGGTTTGTCGTATCAGCCGATGGAGGCGGAGGGAGAGGCGTGATAGTCGAGGCTCGCCAGAGGAAGCATTCGCCGTTGCCAAAGTACGAATGCGCAGGATGAGGGTATTCGGATAGGTATGCGCCAAAGATCTGATCATGTCAGTTAACAGGATAACGTCATATGGGCTCACTGGATACGCACCCCTCCTTCCAGGTCTTTGACGACCAGGACAAAACCAGCTCGTTTGCCCTCATATTGTCGACAGCGCTGATAAAGAGTTGTTAAGCTCGCGCCGTCCTGCTCGAGGCTATATACCAGATGCCAGTCGTCTACGATGCGTAGACGCTCAGGGACCATGGTGCGAATCTCCTCCGCGACAGCGGCTGTCAGCAACTTGGCCGACGTGGGCGTGCCCTGACGATAGCCATGCAATACAAGAGGATCCAGAGGTGGAGGACGAAGGGGGCTCGCTGTACGGCGTACGGGTGTGAAGACACCGTTTATACCGTCTTTTGTGCCATTGCCATTGTGGTACTTGTAGTCGTCTTCGTAGGCGGTGTCGGCCTGGCTAGGGAACGAACCCTCACTAGAGAAGCGACGGATGAGGCCGGTCCACATGTTGGTGATGTATGATGCAGAGGCGCGATTAGGATTGTTGGGCGTAGCGGCGCCAGAAGATTCGGGAGATTCGGGGGATTCGTTGCGGTCAGAAGAGCTCATGACGTGTAAACACGGAGTCTAGTGATAGTGATGCTCAAATTAGGAAGCGCAGGAGGCCATAGACACGAGATTCGAAGCATTCAGTGATCAGGAAACTGAATAAGAATAATGCCGTTGCTAGAAAGGAGACAGGGCGTTGATATGTAGTGTTGAGATCTAAGACATTAGAGGGAATGAATGGATAAGTTCTGGCGCTGCTATGGTAGTGGAGGGTAGCTGTTGGAGATAGAATGCATGAGATTGGGGGAGCTAGTGGAGCTAGATATAGCGGGGTTAACGCCTAACGTTAGAACAAGACTTGAAAGAACACGCACGATCTTGAGAATCGATGCCCTGACATTAAGAAGTTCCAACTCGCTTCCATGGCTTTAAGGCAGCAATTGCCACATCCTCTGCTGGAAGCCTTACTCAGCGGCTTAAAAAGAATTGCGTGGTGATTCATAAGCCTGTGGTCTCTTTTACTGGCCACATGCGTGTATGTACGTACACGCCGGCAAACTTCATGATCGTCATCAACACCAGAGCCTCAAGCACCAAAACGCTAGCTCGATATGGCCAACGGCCTATCACGGCTGAAATGCTGGCTCGGTCTAGACCTTTTGATCTGTTTTCTTGTCATTCGTACTCTCTGATTGTCACGTTCCTGAAGGTACTAAACTTGGCCGATGAGGATTGGGTGAAACAAAAGTCATGATATTACTTGATTTCTCTATTTGATTAGTGGTCTCTCTCAGCGTGTATAGTTCCTGACATGTACGGAGTAGAGAGAATACTCTAACATCTAAGTTTGCTACTAATGAAACTCTCATTTACTATTGATCACCTGAGTATGCTCAACACGTATCATCATGAATTTCTTTTTTTTCTTGGGATATAACAACTACAAAAAGAAATGGCTGCAATGTGCACTTCATCAAATCATCTTCAAGTCCCATGTTTGCCTCTCTCAGATTCAGGCCCTGATCCTGGCTCTGGCCCATGTCTTTGATCCTGTTTCCATACATTTGACCCTCTTTCAACATCAAGTTTGCCCCAAAAGACCCACGCCATTTGCATGCTATGCAGACTAAACTAGTAGGTGATTCTGTGTATGTTTGCGTGCGTGCGTGAGGGTTGTGCTGTGGTCTATCTATCTTCTCCAAATTCTGCCATTGATCTTCCTCTCAAAAGTCACAACTACGTATGAGCACACCTGCTAGCAACAGATGGTCCGTCAGAGGTGTCTCGGATCGCAGATCCTAAATGCCTCACCCATCTTCGTCATCATACCATATTTACCTCATAATCTCCTGGTAGATCAACTGCTTCAGCTGCTCCTTGCTCAGGTTGTCTTTGTGCTTGTCAAAGTCAAAGAACTCCTCGGGGATCGGGGGTGCTGTTGGTTCGTCCTCGGGATCGTGGTAAGGCTCAAGGTATGGGTGCTTCAGAGCCTCCTCCACGGTGATGCGCTTAACAGGATTGAATGCGAGGAGCTTCTCGAGCAGGTCGAGGGCCAGATCCGAGGTCTTGGGGAATAGAGTTCGGAAGGGAACCTTTTTCTTGAAGGGAAGCGATCGAATGTATTCTCGAGCGCGGCGCGACTTGATTCCGTAGTAGTCTTCCATAGTGGGCGTGCCCAGCACGTCCAGAATGAGTGTCAACTGGTGGTGGTCTAGCGGTCAAATGGTCAGCACAGAGCTCTATCGTCTCAGGCATTTCAGCAATCACTTACAGTCCTTGCCAGGGAACAGTGGCTTGCCGCTGAGCATCTCGGCGAGAATGCAGCCAACCGACCACACATCGATAGCCTTGGTGTACTCCTTGAAAGTCAACATGATCTCGGGCGCACGGTACCATCGAGTCGCTACATATTCAGTCATGAAACCGGAGTTGTCCTCCTGCGAAGCAGCGGATCGCGCAAGACCAAAATCGCAGACCTTGAGATCACAGTTCGCGTTGAGGAGGAGGTTGGAGGGCTTCAAGTCTCGGTGCAGCACGTTGGCTGAGTGCATGGCCTTGAGGGCGCGGAGGGTCTGATAGATGAAGTACTGGCAGTGGTCGTCAGAAAGGTCCTGGGTGCGGATGACTCGGTGCATATCCGTCTCCATCAGCTCCTGTGTCGTTCGTTAGTCTGCTGTTGCTATTGCGACTGGGCGCTTGTGGTACAAACCTGGATCAAGTAGACTTCATTAAATGACTCGTAGTTTCGGGGCTTCTGGATATCGAGAATGGAGATGATGTTCTCGTGGTTGAAATATCGCAACAACTTCATCTCTCGCAGGGTTCTTAGACAGAACATGGAGTGATCGAAAGGGGTGATCTTCTTGATGGCGACCTTTTGGCCGGAGGGCTTGTGAATGGCAGAGCTGAAGGAGAGTTAGAGTCTGATACACTGCGTAAAGCACACGACACAAGAAAACATACCAGACAACACCGTAGGCGCCCTCACCAACAACATCCTGAATATCATACTGCTCGCTCACGTTGAACGAGATCTTGCGGGACCCCGCAGCGTTAGGGGGGTTCGATCGAGACATGGTCGCGGTGAGAAGGAGGGGAAAGCTGAAGAGGATTAGAGCGACCGAAAAGCTACGACTGATGCCGTGTTGAGAAGAATGCGCAGTCGCTCGATGGGTCGGTCGGTCGAGACGTTGTAGAAATAAGGTAGAGACAAGTCAAGAGAAAAGAACCAGCCAAGCAAGACTTAAGAAGACTCCTTTGTTGGTACTTGAAGGACCTGGACCTGGACTTGGACCAGCTGGGCTGGACTGGGCAGGACTGGACTGGACTGGCTGATTAAGGATGATTTGAGGGGTTAGGTATTGAGCTCCACTCAATACTATCGCAAGATTTGATTATCGACGAGACTCAACGGAATCGAGAGAGATATGCAGCTGATGATTTATAGCGACTGAGACAAGAAACGAAGTTGAAAGGTGTAAAATAGGTAGGTATTTAGTATGAAGAAAAAAGGGTTGACAGCGACGGGGAGTTATAGTAGCGATAAAGTAGTAGTACAGGCTATAGCAGCTAAGGTAAGGGTAGAGATGGAACAGAAGAGCTCCACGTCCGCTCGGGCCGTGCTGATGCTGGTCCGGTTCGCAAGTTGAGAGCGCGGGGCAGAAGAGGGTCTTGCACTGCTGTAAAGACCCGTACAGAGGCTAGCGCGTCGTGGCAGAGGCCCAGGTTTCAGTTCGGTTCGCCGTCGTCAACGGTGACTATAGGTAAGAATGGGTAAGGATATTGCTGCACGGGCTATTTCTTAGGGGGAGGAGAGTGAGAGAATCTAGGTAGAGAGTCTTCCGAATCTAGCAGTTGGATTGATAGAGAGAGAGAGAGAGAGGTATTGCCTCTGACTGGGTCTTGATCTGACACCAAAGGAATGGAGGATAACTTTTAAAACAAGAACAGGTTGACTGAGATGTGAAACAAGCACGATGAGTCAAGACAAGACGGACGGAACAGAAGGGTAGTTAACTAATATCACTAATTCAATCAATCATTTCTTTCGTCATCTGATTCTTTGTCCCGTTGGGCTGATGACTCTGAGATGTGATAAAGCCAAAACTGGGCGGCTAAGAACCAACAACTACTTGCTCAACTCAAGCTGGTGGAGGTGTCACCTCAGCCCGATAGGAGTCGGTAGTGGACATCCAGTGACTTGTCCTCAATGCAAAGAAAGGACTCAAAATACGACAGAGTGTCCTTTGACTTTGCCTACGCAGGCAGATCTCTTCAAGAGAATGCGTGATCGCAAGACGAAACGAGACCCTTGGAAGAATAAACCGAGGTTCATGGTTCATGGACAGGCCCAGAACATCTGTAATGATCGCCAGGAGGGGCATTAACAACGCCAACGTTGCCGAAAAGCTATTGAACAAACAATGGAACAGTTGGACCTGGAACAACTAAACACAGAAGAACGGAACGACAGAGCAACTACCCCATCATCTCGGATATTGCAGTACAAGACTCCTTGGATATAGTGGATGACCCTGGATTAACAAGCTTAACTTAAGGGTGATAACGATTGAAGGAAGACGAAGTGGGGGAGAGCTCGCTCTGATTGACTTTTACCATGGACCGGGCGGGACGGACAGCTTCCCGTCAGGTACCTGACGATACGTGACAATCACAGAAACAACAGGCAGTTCTAATGTATCCGTCTGTAACAGACCTAAACGAAACGAAGACGAAGACACTGTAGCGTCATGGAACTCTCTGAGACGAAACGTTACAGAACCTCCCAATGACATGACACTAGCGATTCAAAATACTGGGCGTTTAGCATCTGACAGCCCCGAAACATGGTGGATGCTACCTTACTCTGCCCTCTCGTCTTCTTCAGTGGATCGCATCAACCCCCTGTTCGACAAAGATCCCTCAGGCTCAACATACCCCACGTATCTATGCGTTTCACCACCCTAATGCCATGCCGCTTCACATGTTACCGATTCTCATGCTTCCTCAACGGCATGACCTGAACTGAACTGAGCTGAGCTGAGCTGAGCTGATTCCCCTGGATAGGTAGGTAGGAATGTGTAAAGAGAAGCACCGTGTCTCGGAGTTCTTAAAATAACCTCCCCCAGCGCCTAATTCTAGCTATCATTGGCTACTTGGCTCGTTAGGCGCGTGCGTTTCACACCCACCGACTCGGCGGCGTTTCATCATTGGATAGCGAGGTCCTTGTATCTCACGTACTGTAGGTACTGTACCAACTCAGAGAACATCGCGTCGCGCGTCTGCGGCTGCGTCTGGTGCCTGTATCAGATTTCATTCCATGGGGGCCAAACCAACCCCTCGGTCATGGATTCATCCATGGAATCGGGTCTCCTTTCCGTTTGGTTTCTGAAGGAATGCACTTCTAAAAATACCATGCATTACTATGCATGTGAGTCTATCGTTTTTGGTTGGCTGTATCATGTCTTGGCCCTGGTTGTGCTGTTTAATGCTATCATCATGAGCCCCTCTGCTCTGTACATCATCATGATCATGATCTCAACCTCACCCCGTCACGTTCA